GATGGGCAATCCCTAGCTTACATAGCTCCTCGGTTCTTTACAGATCACACAGCTGTGCCAAAAAGGTCACATTCGGCAAGTGGCTGGCCAAGACCCTGGTTTCCTGCTTCCTGATATCAAAACCATGTGACTATCAGCTCCTACTATAGCCCTGGGACTGGCTGTCCCTCACCCCCACCCAAGCTGTAACACTCCCTGGCACCAGCTGACCAGATAATTCCCTGTCCCAGTGCCTGCCTCTCAGGGACCTACCTCTGGCCTTAGACCCCATACTACCACCAGGCGGAATCTGGGTCCCTATGACTCTCCTGACCCTGCATGTTCTGGATTCATGGCTATGACCTTTGGTCCATGTGTTGAGATTGGGAGTTCCCGGGGTGCAGGGCCTGGATCTTACCCCAGAGACCTGCTTATGGCTGAGCCCAGAAGAAGGGATTTGTTGAGTGATGCTGGATAGAATCCAAGGTCTAGTTCTGCCACAAACTCACTTTGTGTCCTAGGGAGCCGCTGCCCTCTTCTGCTGGTCACTGATCTTGAAGCTTCTTTGAGTGGGCTGTGATTCTCTGTCTTGAGAACTGACTAATGGAGGCACGCTCCCACACCAGGCTTACCAGAGGGCTGTGCTGAGGGGATTAGCTCAGGCAGGAGAAAAAGCTGGTATGTGTGTGTGAGGAGGAGGGTGGGGAGGGGAAGTACAGGGAGAAAGGTGACTAGGGTAGTAGGGAGGTAAATGAGGGTAGGGTCCACAGACTGCATTATTTGCAGCAATGTAGCCAGGTAGCGTCAGTGGGGCTCAAACAAGGAATAGCTAGCATCTGGATGGGCTAACAGGTATTCCTGAGCAGCCTGCACCAATGTGAGTGGGGGATAATGATAGAGCAGGAAAGGGAGTAGAGAGGGCTGTGAACCTAGCTACAAGGAGGGTGGGAGGTGACCTGGTGCAGTATGGGCATATGGGATGGTGGTCACCTTCTCTAGAGCCTTGGATGGAGTGCCAGTCTGTCCTGGGTGGCCACTCTGAACCGTGGTGGGGTGCTATTTACATTCTAGTCATGCTCAAGGGCTGCTGCCCACTTCATATCCCTGGAGTTTCTCTTGGGAGCCCTGTGGAATATTGGAATAGCTCATCTTCCAATGCCTACTCATATGCCCCCTCTAGGCCAGCTTCTAATCCTGGCTCTCACTTAAATTTAGAATCACGTTCCTTCTGGGAGATTGTACAGCAGCATGCATGCTGGAGGAAGAGCATAGCTTCAGAGCCAGAGGGAGCCAGGGGCCAGCCCTTGGCTTTCCTGTCCTAGCTGTGTGACCTTGGGCTGGTCATTTTGCTTCTGATCTTCACTCTGTGAAATCTGTGAAATGGGGTCATGTGTACCATGAGAAGTTGTGAAGGTTAGAAATAATGTGAATAACATGCCTACTTCAATGCCTGCAACATAGAAGAGGTAAAATAAATGGTAGCTGTTATTAATTCTTTCCCAGGGTGAGAATCCCATCTGTGGCCTCCTTGGTGGAAAGGAGCCAACAACTACGTGCACTGCCCCGGGGATGGGGGAGCTCACCCCCTCTAGGGGCAGCTCTGCCTGAAAAACCTTCTTCCTTAGATGCAGCTGAGACCTGTCCCAGTTCTGTCTCTGGGGCCATAATGCATGCTGCTCTGTGGCCACAGGACAGCTCTGTGGCATTACCTCAAAAGAATCTCAAGAGATCTTACATCTGGTAACACAGTGCTTATTCTGCACTGCAGGAGCAAGGCTCTGGAAGTTCCCAACCTCATTCAAAGGAGTACCTTTTAAGTCAGGCTTACCTAAATCATAGAAATCCCTTTCCCCATCCCTGTAGAGTTTGGAATATATGAATTGTATTCTCCTGAGTCTGCTTTTTTTCCTGGGTGAACTCTCTCATTTCCTTTGAACAAGAGGCAAATGGGAGAACTGGATTCTGGTCCCAAATCCATCACTGCAGGGCAAACTACTTATCTTCACTGAGTCTCCAGTTCCTCATTTGTAAAATGAATAAAATAACAGTCTCACAGGATTATAGTGAAGATAAGCTCAGAAAAGTAATAGGAAAGTTTGGAGTTTGGGAAAGGCACTTGGTAAATGTTAAACACATTTAAAACAAAAAAACAAACACATTTTTGAAAAAAGCAGTTAGCAGGTCATGTGGTGTTGCCCCTTAGCTTTTTATCATACCTCCAAAGGAGTCATCCCAGAAAGTCTATGCTGTTCCTGGCAAATCAGGTGGAGGATGCCCCCCTAACTCCACAAAACAGAGCCCCAGGGTTGTACTTCATCTGTGAAGAGCCTACTGAGTTCCAGGTTCATTCACCTACTTTATTCCATAGTTGGGGACCAAGACCCAGAGAAGGCCCGGCTTATCAATGGTAGAGGCTGGATCCCAAAGCTCCCAACATCTAGTAATTTTATACTCTTAGTCTTCACCTTCAGGAAAGAGAGGTGAAGGGAGGATAATCTCTGGGCCAGACTAGTTCCACCCAGGACTACGATCCAGCAAATCTTTGTTAAGCACCTTCTGTGTGCATGACACTGCATCTGGGGAAGCACTGTTACCCCTCCCCCACTACCCCTCCAGCATTCATGGAATGGCGGGTCTGGAACTCAGCCTTGCTTAAGGCTAAGGCGGATTCTGTCTTGCTAACCTCTGTACCCCCAGCGTCTGGCACAAGGCTTGGCACAAACCAGGATCTTAGCAAATATCTTTTGAATGAATGATGAATCTGTAAGCATTTATTGAACACTGACTATGTACCAGGCCCTGTGGTAGAAGAGATTCTATTTAATACAACAAGCCTGCAGCGCTGGTATTATATCCCCATTTTACAAGTGAGAAAGGCTGAAAGCAGTGAAACTCGTTAGCTCAAGGCCTCACAATGAATTGGTGCTGAAGCTGAGATTGGAGCCCAGCCTGGCTACCTCTGGCCTGAGCTCTAACTGCTACCCCACAGCTGTCAGGGAGCTGGGCCTCCGCCCACCTGTTCCACTGCCCCAGGCCTTTCCTGATGAGTGATTGAGGACTCTGGTGAAGGGCTGACTTTTGAATAGCCTCAAGGAAACTAGAAAAAACAAGCCTGATCTCCTAGTTCCTACACAACCTGACTCATGCATAGCTCTGATTCAGTCACCTTCCCGTACAAGAATCTAGGTAATTCAGTGTGAACAACCTGGATTCAAGTTCCATCTTCCCAATTTCTGGCCACTTGTGGCGTCGGGCAATATACTTGGGTCTCTCTCAGGCCTCAGGCACTTTCCTCTTTTGCCTGACTACACTTCTGAGAAACAGGTGTCTAGGACCCCAACTTCTGATAAAACCATGGGGCGATCTAGTTCACCCTCCACACATCCGTGCGGCTCCGGATGAGGTATTTTCATTCTCTTAAGGATCTCAAGGGAGGCTGATACCCCTACCCCCAGATGGCCTGGACAGGGCAGGAACGTGGGTGAAGGGGGCTGCCTGGATGAACAGCCTTACTGACAGATGAGGAAGGCAGAGCTCTCCCAGCCAGTCAGAGGCAGACAGAGTGGACTGACACCCAGATAAGAGCTTCTTCCTTTGCCCCTGCTGCCTCCTCTTACTTTTCCTCATGGTTATCACCTGCACCTTTTTTTTTTTTAAAGATTTTATTTATTTATTTTAGAGAGAGAATGAGAGATAGCACGAGAAGGAAGAGGGTCAGAGGGAGAAGCAGACCCCCCGCTGAGCAGGGAGCCCGATGTGGGACTCGAACCCGGGACTCCAGGATCATGACCTGAGCCGAAGGCAGTCGCTTAACCAACTGAGCCACCCAGGCGCCCTGCACCTTTTTTTTTTTTTTTGACCCATAGAACTCTTTGTGACCCAGAGAGTCTAGTCTTGCTGTGTGACCTACAAAAAGTCTCTCCTCTTCTATGAGCACTTCCCCATCTGTGAACTGGGGTCCTGGTCTTAACCACCTCACGGTTCCCTTCCAATACAGAGTCCGTGCTCTTTGATGTGAATGCCCTGTAGCACAAAGCCGTTTTCTTTTTTGCAGGGTAACTATAGACATCCCCCTGCCCCGCCCCCGCAGCAGTCAGGCACCTGTGGCCGGCTGAGAAAGAACTTGTCCCTGTTCGCCCCCGCACGCTTGCCTATCTGGCCAGCGCATTCGCTCGCCAGAGAGGGGTGTTGCAAGACCGAAAAGAAGTAAAAAACGGAACTCTCCTACTGCCGCATGCTACCGTCCGCGCCACTGTAAAAACTTCACTCTGAGGGTCGACACACACACACACACACACACACACACACACACACACACACACACACACACACACACACACACACACACACACACACACACACGGCAGGCGGGGACACACACACACACACACACACATACACACACACGGCAGGCGGGGGCGGCTTGTGCGCGTGCGTCGGCTCAGAACCCTCTCCCGCCCACGTGCGCGGCCCCGATCGAAGGCGCGCGCCCGGTAGCCTGGCGGGAAAGCGCGCGTGAAGCCCCCGGCGGGCTCTCGGTGTGGGGGAGGGAGGACGGGAGGCGTTTGGAACGTGCCACTCTTGGAGACAACGGGGGGATTTCCGTGCTCCACTAGCGTTTCTATCCCTCCTATTCGCCGACCGATCCGTTAGTTCCCCCACGTCCCCCGCCGAGATCCGAAACCCCGCGCCGTGGCCAAGCTCCCTCCCTACAGCGTGGCCCGGCCCCTGGAACCCTGCTCTGGACTGAGTTGTCCCCTCCGCCGCCGGAGCGGGGCGCTGCGCCACACGGTGGGGCCGGAAATTCCCGCGGCCAGAGTGGAGGAGCTGAAGCCGAGAGCGCGGCACCGCCTTCCACCTCCCCGAGCCGGGCGGGGGCGTCGGGCCCAGCGAGGGCTGGGCTGGGCTGCTTTAGTGGGGGCGGGGGGCCGCGTCTGCGAGGAGCTGCGGCGCCGGCGGGCGGGGAGCGGGACGACGCTGCTGCTCGAGAGCCGCTCGGCGAGCTAGGAGACCCTGCGCCCCAGCTCCTGGGCCCCCGCCCCCTCGCGGTCTCCGCCTCCTTCCCTCACACACCCCCCGGGCCGCCGGAGCCCCAGGCCTTCCCCGCGCTCCTCCTCCTTCTCTTCGCACTCGCCCTCCGACCCGGGTCCTCCAGCCGCCCGCCGGCCTTGCTTTGCTCCCTGCCGGGGAGTCCTCGTTCTCAGGCTCTCCTTACACACACACACACACACACACACACACACACACAGACACACACACACACACGCGCTTGCCGAGCCGCCACTCCTCACGGCCCCACATCTCCTCGTCCTAGCTGACGCCGCCGTCGGGGGAGGATTGATGTCCCTTCAGCATCATGCAGCCGCCGCCGAGGAAGGTGAGGGTGTAGTTGGGAGGCTTTGGGGTTTGGGAGGGATGTGTACAAGGGACGCGGCTGGGGCGCCCCCTCCCCCTTTCCGCAAGGGGCCGTGACCGCCGTCGCCTCGGGCTTGTCACAGAGTTGCCGCCGGCTCCAGGCGAGGGCCACGCGAATGAGGTGTCTTTCCGACGAAGGGGCGGCCCGGGCTCGTCCCCTCCACCGCACGGGAGACCCCCAGACATTTCACAAGAGTTTCGGGTGTGCATTTGTGTGTGTGCGCGCGCATGGCAGTGCTGCTCGCTGCAAAGTGCATTCTCGGGGCTGCACCGAGGGGAGGCGGGGAGCCCCTGCAGCTTTGCAGAGCCTGTGCTTGTGTGATTGTTTAGTCTGCGCCAGGTTTGAGCCCTCCAGCAGCTTGTCGCCACCCTCGCCCATTTGATAATTTTCAGGGAATTTGTTTCCAGCCTAGCCGTAAGGTTCGGCCTGCTTTTCCCACGGGGCGGCCGAAAAGAAGTTGGGCTAGTCACCGCCCCCCACCCCAGGGGAAAACAAGAAATTAAGCCTTTCTGCCCCCCACACCGGATCGTGTCCCGCCCCTCCAGCTAGGGGGCCGGGAGGCGGTGGTGCTGCCGCCGGAGAGCGAGAGCCGGGCAGTGCGTGGCGTGTGCACCGCGATCGGGGCTTGGGGTGGGAGTGACGGGTGCTCTCGGCATGTCAGCGCCTCCCCCCTGCGCCCTTCGAGAACTGTTTCACTGCCCTCTTCCCCAGCGTTCCCCAGGGCTGAGGCTGTGTCCTTGTCTTTTTAATCCTGCAGATGGTTACTGAGTGTCTACTCAGGGCATTGGGTGGAGAAGGCTGTTCTGTCCTCCCCTCGTGGGCAAACATTTGCCGAATGCCTAACTCGCTCCTGTCTGCTGCTTCTTTTTCTCTTTCTTAATCCGGGTTTCTCCAGTTAAGTGACTCTTTTCTTTCACACATGTACCCCCACCCCTCCGGGTTAGCCCGGCTCCGCGGCGCGGGGATTCCAGGCCCACTGTAACCTGGAACCCTGGGGTCCAGGCCTGGCTGGCGAGGCACTGGACAGCTTGCATTTGCTGTTCTGTTTGAAGTGGAGCCGCCACGGGAACCGGCTTGCTGGGGTGGCTTAAAAAGCACTGCACATGCTGGAAGGTCACTTTTGCTCTCTCCTTTGTGAGAAAGAGATTGTGATTTGATGCGCTGTCAGCGAGTTGGCATCATCCTGAGACACTGGTTTTTCGCAGCCATTATGGAATAATTTATGTAGTCAATTTATGCATATAATTTCATGATTGTGTAAATTTTGGCCATTATATATTAGGCATTCCTATACTCACTTCTGCCATCTATACTCAGCTCACCTCTCCTGGAGGTTAAAATCTTTCAATCTTTTTTGGAAGAAAGAGACTCTTCAAACCCCAAGAAGACCTACTACATATGTACTGAGCTTGTGCATGAAAAGGAATGACTGGCAGTTTAATTTGCACCTCCTTAATCTGTAATTTTTATACTTTTACTTTCATTTAACCTCTTTCAGGATATTTGGCTAGATTTCTCATTAAGTGTCCTCAGTAAACAAAATTAGGTGGCTAATAATGGATTTATGGCCTTTAGGGGAGAAGTGAGCAAGAGGTATATATTCTGACGGGTATTAAGTATTTTGCTTAAGTACTTTGTTGTTAAAGTTGCAGTATGGCCTTCATAATATATGGTATATTTTAGGTGAAAGTTACACAAGAACTGAAAAACACTCAAGTTGAGCAGATGACAAAACTTCAAGCCAAACATCAAGCAGAATGTGATTTACTTGAAGATATGAGGTAAGATTATAGTAAATAGTTTGAGAACTTTTATATCTTTGTTTCAAAGAACCATTGAATTACCAAGCCCCAGGAACTGATGATGGAATTTCCTTTTGGATTTCCTGCTTTAAGACTGTTAGAGCTTTGACTCAGCTAGAAATTATAACTGGAACTAACACAATACAAACTTTTTTTTTTCCTTTAGTGGCGGGACCTATAACCTACATATACTATCAGGAAAAAATAAGGATCTTAAAAATTTATTTGTCAAATTATAATCATTAAAGTAGAAATTCTTATTTAAATAATCTTTCCGCTGAACTGTAACATTTACTGACCTTAATGATTTCACAGAGATTTTTAAACTGACACCTCTGGTTAATGGTTAATATCTGGGGGTGAGCCTGTCAACATCAGATGATTGCACACTAGCACTATTTGTTAGAATATGACAAATATGATTTTCTCTTTGAACATTAAATTTAGTGGGAAATGTGTATCATATTTTTTCATTAAAGTTACCTGTATTCGTAATCAAGATAACTTTAAATAGATAAGCCATCTTGCCAGCGTTGTGAAAATCAGTATCTTTATAGAGGGAAACATGACTCATTTTATTGAAGGAGACACCACTGTTTTAACAATCCTGTAATACAAATTGACAGCTCGACAAACATATTTTTATAAAGGATGGAAGATAATTTACACGTTGAAACAGAGTGGCTACAACTCTTTTTTTTTTTTTTAAGATTTTATTTATTTATTTGACAGAGAGAGAGAGGGAACACAAGCAGGGGGAGTGGGAGAGGGAGAAGCAGGCTTCCCGCTGAGCAAGGAGCCCTATGTGGGACTCAACCCCAGGAACCTGGGATCATGACCAGAGCCAAAGGCAGATGCTTAACAACTGAGCCACCCAGGCGCCCGAGTGGCTACAATTTTTAATTTCCTTTAGTAACACATTTATCAAATTGGAGTTGGGTCTGTAAGCTCTGTCAGTTGCCTGTTTTTTCCTGTGGTGCATAACCTCATGTTGATTTCATGAAAAATATGAACTGTGTGTTGTTATAATAAAATTATGTGTTTGGATAGCCGAATTGTTTGGAGCCCAAAGATTTTAATTTAAAGAGTTCCTTTTTTTCCCGCCCCATATTTAATTTAGGTACTATTTGTGACTATTTCTACTGTCTACTTCTAACTAGGGCATATATATTTAGTCTTATCCAAACTTGGAAATACCAAGATCATTGTTTTCTCACTGGGAAGTATTCTATTTTAATTCTGCATTTGTTTCTTTTTGTTTTTCATGTGGCCACAGGGGAATTTTTAGACTTAAATAATTCCTGTGCAAAATACCTGAAACTCTTCATAAGGTTAAAAACGAAAAATTTTAAACATCTATTAAGTGAAGTAAGGTATTTTAGTAGAAATCTCTAAATGAAGAAAGTAATAAATTTTCAGAAGCAGTTTAGAAAGGCCAGATTAGTGTGTAAGTGAAAATTCTCTGTAGGGTATGGAAGGTCAGTGGTCATTAAGTCCTGTGATTATATCTTCTAAAGACTTCTTGTTTACATTCTTTTCCCCTATTGCCTATACCTTGGTACCCGAGCTTATGGTCAAGGATAGGGACACACAGTCACTGCTAAGTTGATATAGGTTGTTCTGCTTCTGTTATTTAGTTGTTTGTATTATTGCTGACCCCAACACATTTCACTTGCGTTATTGCGATAATATCCTAACTGTTGCTGTAGTGTTCTCATATCTTCTACCCCTCAATCTCTTCTTTTAAGTCTGTCTTCCATATTGTCACCAGTTAGCTTTCTTTCCTTTTCTTTTTTAAAGATTTTATTTATTTGATCAAGAGAGAGCACACGCAGGAGCAGGGGGGAGGAGCAGAGGAAGAGGGAGAAGTAGACTCCCCGTTGAGCAGGGAGTCCGGACTTGATCTTAGGATCCTGAGATCATGACCTGAGCTGAAGGCAGATGCTTCACCGACTGAGCCACCCAGGCACCCCACCAGTTAGCTTTCTAAAAACATTGTTTATAGGGTGGCTCAGTCAGTGAAGCAGCTGCCTTCGGCTCAGGTCATGATCCCGGGGTGCTGGGATCGAGCCCCACATCGGGCTCCCTGCTCATAGGGGAGCCTGCTTCTCCCTCCCCCTGTTTGTGCTCTCTCTCTCTCTCTCTCTCTCTCTCTGTGTGTGTCAAATAAATAAATAAAATCTTTAAAAGAGAAACATTGTTTATTATATACTGGGTTCTCTATGCTTCTAGATAAAGACTACACACCTTGTAGCATATATGGCACTCTGCATCCTAGCCACAAGCTTCCTTTCCTGGTGTAATTACTGCCATTTCATGCTTATTAATTCTTCCTTCTTATTCCCTTTGCCCTGGCCACTCAGGACTTCTGGTTATCTAATTGTGCTCTGTACATTCATGCCTTTATATGTGCCATTCTCTTTGCCTGCTGATACCCTTCCTCCCACTTTTTCACCTGGCAAATTAATGGTTGCCACTAAGTTTGCAAGTTGTTGTTCACTGTGATCTCAGAGGGTTTTGATTTTCCACATGCTTTTGGCTTCCCCCTTCATGTGAATTCCTTGAAGTCAGGGGGTAAGTCTTAATTCATTTTTGTGTCTTTGTACCATTTGTTTAGGCTGGCAGAATTGTTAAATGAATGTAACTGGTTATATTTAAATGCACCTTGTTTTTAGGTGAAATGTTTTACTGCTCTGTTTGTAGGGGGCGAGAGTGGTGTCGTGTTTGGCTTGTGTTATACTTTGATTCATGTGGGCACTTTAAAACGTACTGTGCTAGGGGCGCTTGAGTGGCTCAGATGGTTAAGCATCTGCCTTTGGCTCAGGTCATGATCCCAGGGTCCTGGGATCGAGCCCCACATCGAGCCCCACATCGAGCCCCACATCGGGCTCCTGGCTCGGCAGGGAGCCTGCTTCTCCCTCTGCCTCTCCCCCTGCTCATGCTCTCTCTCTCTGTATCTCTGTGTCTCAAATGAATAAAAAAAATAACGTACTGTGCTATTTGATGTTAAGTGTATCTATATTTAAATATATAAATAGATTGTTGGTGTTCCAAAATTAGTACATTCTTTATTTGATGTATGTTCTTCTTTTATATTAAATTATTGGAATGAATCCCTTCACTCCTATGTAGTTGTGAGCAGAATACTATATTACCTCCTAAAAGGTGAGTTTAGGTTTCTGATTTTTATTTTTCAATGATAATATTGAATTGGAAGTTGAAAATTGCATACTCTTGATATTCATAATAACTTTAGTTGCTTGAGGAAGGGGGTAGTCTGGCTTTTCTGGTCTGTCCTAGCAAGCAGAACGACATTTAAAAATTCATCAGAAATCTCTGAACTTGAGTTTTTATATGTATTGTATTGTAAAAGATCTTGCTTGCTGCTTTCCCTTTTTTTTTTTTTTTTTTAAGTAATCTCTGCCCTCAACGTGATACTTGAACTCACAACCTGGAAATCAAGAGGTGCATGCTATAGGGACTGAGCCAGCCAGGTGCCTCTGCTTTTCTGTTTTTGAGGTTCCCATCACCCTCTTCCCCAAAACCCCACAAATAGTAGTCCTTCTCACGATGCCCTAACCAGTGTTATGCTCCATTTTAGTGTGAATTCACTCAAAAAAAGTGCAAATAGCTTCTCTTAATATAAAGAAATTGTTAGTAGGCAGAGAATAATTTTTATTACTTTAAAAAGAGCGAAAAACTAAAAGACCACAATAATTATTAAGCTGTAAGTAGGAGATGTAATGGGAGATGTAGTGTATTAAGCTGTAAATAGGAGAATTTCATGCTGGGTTATGGCTAGTTTCCACTCCCTTCCCCCCTTCTCATCTTGTGGAATTTTGAAGGGAGGAAACCAATTATGATACAGTATTTTTCCTTTGCTCTCCCCCTCTTCAGTTCATTTGTTCCAGGGATGTATTTGGAAGCTGGTGTGTTGGGAGTAAAATATGAGAAGGAAAGATAATTCATTTGTTATTAATCAGGGACATTCCATGCTTTGGGGAGATTTTATACTGAAGTGTTTCCTGTTGACTTTTGCTTAGACAAGCAAACTTTACTTTCTTTTTAGTTTATTATTATTTTTTCTCTCTCTGTTTTCTAAGACAACTTATAAGTAAGTTTCTAAATACAGCCTATGTATTTACTAATACTATATATTTAGTATTGTTTATTCTCATGATGTACTAAGTAGAGTCAATAAAGTTCTTTGCAGGGATCCTGAATATAAAGAACTACCTTCTTAGCAGACATTTTTAGGTCATTATATAACATGGAAAAACCATAGAATTTTAGAGTTTGTTGACACTGTCATATTTGTTAGTGAAAATGGAAACTGAGGCACAGTGAGATGAAGTGAATCATATTGAGAAAAAATGCTAAGCTATTTCTTTAATTTCTAGACTAGTGCACTATCCTGTTTCTCTGTATTATTCAAGCTTTTATTTATTTTTTTTAAAGATTTTATTTATTTAATTGACAGAGAGACAGAGAGAGACAGAGAGAGAGGGAACACAAGCAGGGGGAGTGGGAGAGGGAGAAGCAGGCTTCCCGCCGAGCAGGGAGCCCGATGCAGGGCTCGATCCCAGGACCCTGAGATCATGACCTGAGCCGAAGGCAGTTGCTTAACCAATTGAGCCACCCAGGCGCCCCTTATTCAAGCTTTTAATAAAGGAAATCATCGTAAGTCCCATTTCTTGAAACATTTTGCCTATCAAAAAGCACATTTTAACTAATAATTTTTCTTATTTTTTACTTTTCATACATCAAACTGTCAATCAGCTTTGAATCATTATTTTAAAACTGCTAACATGAATCCAGACAAAGGCAAAGATACTTGAAACTTTACCTCAGAGAAGCCTGAGTGTATGGTTCCTAACAGATGTTCTGAAAAATGGAAACTGGCTTAAGAAGCACCTGTCCTTTCTTTGTAGACACCTGGAGGTCTAGTGACCTCAAGTGAAGAATTACTGTACTATATG